TTTTTTGAGTTGGAGTCTCACTCTGTCGCCCAGACTGGAGTGCAGTGGCCGCTCCCGGCCACCGCAGCCTCGACCTGCCGGGCTCCAGTGATCCTTCCGCCTCAGCCTTCCAAGTAGCTGGAACTACAGGCGCGCCCTACCACGCCCGTCTAATTTTTTGATTTATTGTAGAGATGAGGTCTCGCCAAGTTGCCCAGGCGGGTCTTGAACCCGCATTCTCAGGCAATCCACTCACCTCAGCCTTCCAAAGGCGCGGGATTACAGGCTGAGCCACCAAGCCCGGCTCATTATTTCTTGATGTAAACATCACTTTATCAGTGTAATCAACTTTGTCCTTTCATTGACATTCTTGCATTGACATTCTTGTCACAAATTAAATTATTAATTTATAAATATAAATAATTATTACACATAAAAACTAAAACCTGTATAATTTATCCAGACAATGGTTCTTTCCCAACTTCTGAATCTTAGTATTCAAATTTTGCTTTGCAATTTGGAGTATTTTAGTGATTGGAAATAAAAGTCTATCAAGGCATGACTGTTGGTGATAAATGCTACAGTTATGGCATGTGTTTATAAACAGGACTGTCAATTTTCATTGTATTAATTACAAAAATTAACTCTAAATGGATCAGAGACCTAAATGTAAAACCTCAAACTATAAGAACCTTAGAAAACGGAGGAGATACCCTTATGGAAATTGGAACTGGCAACCAATTCCTGATCAAAACCCCAAGCGCCCAGGCCATAAGAGATGAGATAGACAAGTGGGACCTCACCAAACTGAGAAGCTTCTGCAAAGCCAAAGAAACCATTGAGAGAGCAGGGAGACAGCCCACAGACTGGGAAAAACTATTTGCCAACTGTATGTCTGGCAAAGGCCTAACATAAAGGATCTACAAGAAACTCAAATGTGCTGAAAGGCTGGGTGCAGTGGCTCACACCTATAATCTCAGCACTTTGGGAGGCCGAGGTGAGAGGATTGCCTGAGCCCGCTGGTTCCAGATCATCCCGGGCAACTTGGCAAGATCTTGACTCTAAAAAAGTGCCGAAAAGAAAAAAAAAAAAACAAAAACAACCCCATTACAAAGTAGGCAAAAGATAAGAATAGACAGTTCTCAAAAGAAGATGCACCAGCAGCCAACAGATACATGAAAAAATGCTCAGCCTCACTAGTCATCAAGGAGATGCAAATTAAACTACACTGAGATACCACCTACTTCCATTCAGGATGGCCATCATCAATAACTCAAAAACAACAGATGCTGGAGAGGATGTGGCAAAAAGGAAACACTTCTACATGGTTGGTGAGAGTGTAAACTATACAGCCTCTGTGGAAAACATTGTGGCAATTTCTATTTTTTTTTTTTTTTTGAGTTGGAGTCTCACTCTGTCGCCCAGACTGGAGTGCAGTGGCCGCTCCCAGCCACTGCAGCCTCCACCTGCAGGGCTCCGGCGATCCTTCCGCCTCAGCCTTCCAAGTAGCTGGAATTACAGGCATGCGCTACCACGCCCAGCTGATTTTTTAAATTTATTGTAGAGATGAGGTCTCGCTGCCCAGGCGGGTCTCGAACCCGCGGGCTCAGGCAATCCACTCACCTCAGCCTCCCAAAGGCGTGGGATTACAGACTGAGCCACTGAGCCCAGCCGCGATTTCTAAAAGATCTAAAAGTTGACCTTCCATATGATCCCACAATTCCCCTACTGGGAATATACCCGGAAAAACTCTATAAAAAAGATACCTGCGCATGTATGTTTATCGCAGCATTGATTACAGTAGCAAGAACATGGAACCAACCATGCTGCCCATTAAAAGAGGACTGGATAAAAAAAATGTTGTATATATACACGATGGAATATTATGCAGCCATAAAGAAGAACAAAATCATGAACTTCACAGCAACCTGGATGGACTTAGAGTCTATAATACTGAGTGATCTTGCACAGAAACAGAGAACTTAGTATCACATGTTCTCACTCATAAGAACAATTATTGTGATACTATAAGGGAATGATTGGCAGTAATGGGAAACTGCCAGGAGGGGTGTGGGGAAGCGGCATTGGCAGTAGTGGGAATCTGCCTGGGGAAGTGGGGTCACACCTCATTAACAAGGCTACCTGCATAATGAACATTTGTATATTTAACCCCACACATCTTTAAAATTAAAAAAAAATTTAAATAAATAAATACATGTCTATCATGGCATGACTGTCGGTGATAAATGCTAGTTATGGCATGTGTTTATAAACAAGACTGTCAATTTTCATTGCATTAGCTACAACCTATTTTAATGTTAACCATAAAGATTTTTTACTTAAAAAGATATCTTAAAAAACAAGAAATTATTTTAGTGCCCCATCTATATGTGTATAAAACATAGACAACTTCACCTCAACCTTTTAATATATTACTTAAATGATGATAACATGAATAGTTGGATGGTGATTTGACTATATTAAAGAAAATTACATGGACCTAACTTTCAAACATTACCCATTTTAGGAGTGATTTTTTACAGAAAGAGACGCACGAGTGCATAAATATGGGTATATACTGATTATAAATGTATATCTTGCAATATACAAAAAGACTAACAACTATTCTGAAAACAAGAAATGGCTAAAGAAAATGTGGTGTCCTTCACATCGACTGAGGATATTGGCACATCTGTTGTTTTAGACATGAGGACCTCAGGAGATTATGTAATATCTATGACTTCAAAATGTCATATCAAATCATTATCTCCTTTACAATAAAATAAATTGGTTATGATAGACAAATAATAGATGTAAGGCTAAATTGATAGATGCTTGCATTAACATAGAAGCTGTATTCCCTAAGATAGGGCAGATGATTAAATAATTTACCTCTGGAAAGCAGGGAAGAATTGTTAGAAATAAATCTGTCATAAACAATCTTATATTCTTTTATATTGTTAAATTTTCTTTTTTTTTGAGTTGGAGTCTCACTTCGTCGCCCAAGCTAGAGTGCTGTAACACACTCATGGCCACCCCAGCATTGACCTGCTGGGCTCAGGTGATCCTTCTGCCTCAGCCTTCCAAGTAGCCGGAACTACAGGTGCATGCTATCATGCCCAGATAATTTTTTTATTTATATTGTAGAGATGAGGACTCATGAAGTTTTCCAGGCTGGTTTTGAACCCGTGGGCTCAGGAAATCCTCTCAACTTGGCCTCCCAAATTTCCGGGATTACAAGGCTTAAGCCACCACTCCTGGCCTAAATTTTCTTAAATAACTACTTTTGGCAATAGTTTATGGCTGGTACTTTTAATCTTAAACTTAAAAAGGGAAGCAGAGTTAAAAGTAAAACATATTTTAGTTTCAGTGTGTCAAGAACACAAAAGATTAAAAAAAAACTTTGAATTTATCAGTTATATGTTGACCAAGTAACCTCGAAGGAAATCCTGAAGCAAGCAGTTCATTGTTCTGATTTTTGGCTTTATATTTTACCGACTTCATCAAAAATACCCCAAATATCTCTACCGTACAATGCATATGAGCCTCCATTGTCTTAAGATCTGTGAGAAGCATCTTTCCATGTGTTGTGGAAATAATCAGAGTAAGTATTAACAACGATATTTCTTATATATTCAGTTATGTAGCACATGGAATTGAGAAGCATCACAGCATCACAACATTAATTCTCTCTCAGCAAAATGAGAGACATATGTTAGTTTAAGTGATCTTGCAAAGAAAGTGTGAAGAATTCAGTGCCAAAGTGCCTAAATACATGGGAACACTACTGCAACCTTTAAGGCATGGGATTGTTTAACTTATTTTATAACAGAGAAAAAAGTATAAGTAAAATAATTTAAGCATATGCATGGAAAATATGTAAAATGTGTTAAAATAAAAATACATGAATAACTACTCCATGGTATAATTTGCTAAAAATGCCTGTGCTAGCTGGGTGCAATGGCTCATGCCTGTAATCCCAGCACTTTGGGAGGCAGAGGCGAGAGGATTGCCTGAGTCCGTTGGTTCGAGACTAGCCTGGACAACTTAGTAAGACCTTGTCTCTACAACAAATCAAAACATTAGCCAGGCATGGTGGTGCACGCCTGTGGATTCCAGCTACTTGGAAGGCTAAGGTGAAAGGATCACCTGAACCCAACATGTCAAGGCTGCGGTAGCTGTGAGTGTGCCACTGCGCTTCAGCCTGGGTGACAAAGTGAGACTCCTACTCAAAAACAAAGACAAAAAAAAGCCTGTGCTAAAGAGAACGCACTTGACCTATTATGAAAGCATCAGTCATTAAGCACCAAGTAGTATACAATCTACCTGACAATGACCTGAAGAAATGTTTTAACCAATATTTTAACTAGTTTAATGGGATAAATTTTACTTTCTATTGAAGAATAAAATACATATAGGAAAATGCATGCACTAAAATTGTACAGCTCAATAAATTTGCATGATCCAAACACAGCAAGTAATCAGCACACAGATCAAATTATAGATATTACATATGTTCCAGAAACCATCCAGGTGCCTTATATCCATGAGTATCTCACACATACCATAAAAAGAATAGAATTTCATATATAACTTCCCATGTTGTAAAAATGAAAAAAAAAATCAAATCAGTTCTCAATAATTAAATTAGAAGCAGAAATATAAAATAGTATGACTCCAAAGATCTTTTGAATCATGGAGTCTCTGTTCTGAAGCCCCAGTAATTAAACGATGAGGTAAATTTGATATTTTGGATTTCATTACGGTAACTTTTAATCCCATATGAAATTGCTTAACATTTAAAAAATTCTACATTTTTCCATTACAGCAGAAAAGAGTTAAAACAGAAATGATAAGGATTCAATAATGTAGGTGACCTTGGTGAGATTCTCAATGAGTAAGTGGACAAATCATGAAGATATTCTCCAATAACCTTGTGAAAAGATGCACACAGAGACCTAAAGACCTGGCAAAGAGAATATGACATATGAATTTCAAAAGATACTGTTTTAGCAACTCACCCTTATTCTCTGAAGTGGAGGATCAGATTCTAGCCCTTCTATCTCGGCAGAACATGACAGAAAAAAAAAGCAAAAACATAATCTTAGGGAGTACTCAGTAAAAATAACAAAGCACTAAAATTGGTTCCATTTCCAATAGTTAGCATAGGCATGCAGTGTTCCCTTCTTTTAGCATATTACTGGTGAGATTTTTAGTACAAATCACAGTTGCTTGACCCTTTCTTAAACCAATTTTTTTTCATTTTCTTATTTGTTACTCAAGAGCATATTTCCTATGTATAAATATCTGTCTATAATTATCTGTTCAATGTGAGTAAAATGAAGCAAGTCTTGTGTCGCTGAGCATATTAAAGGTGTATACTACCTCGTAAGATAGGGTGTCAATGCCCTAGTCTAAGAGAAAGGAAGGCATGTTCACAGTGGTATTATGTTGTCACTGAGGGGTCACCAAATAAGCCAGGCCCTGAGAGTCTTATTTGTCCTTTTAGAGAGCCATCAACTGGACCTCAGATTGACATCTGGAATGAGTCCCTCAGCATCCTCAGACAATTATGCTCATCATCGATCCAGACAAGCACCCTCTCAACAAACAAGGATTTCTGTAGCCAGGCTTATTTTGTGCATGCTTATCTAATCCATTATGAATGAAGAACAGAAAGTGTACAGTAAACATTTTACTTAGTATCTGAATAGTGAAATTCTCACATACATATCATGAAAAAACTAATGACTTTGAATTCTTCTAATAAAATTGGATAAAATCTATTGAGAAACATGTTTAAACTCTTTAATCAACTTAAATTTTGAGGAGTAAGTTAGCATAATAATAAATGGTATGATTACAGTATTAATATAAATAGAAACATCCATGTTCTGAATGGGACAGATAAAGATCTAAAAATAAATATTTAGCACACTTGAATTTAACCACAAGATTATTTTCACTCAACACAGAGTGGTGAAAAATGGAAATATGCCAATAATTCCCCCAAATTATTTAGACTACTTCAAAAAAGTGGTTTAAACAAGAGAAAGAAACAATAATGGGGATTATTTTAACAAAGTAGGTACAGTCACAAGAAAATATATCTCCCATACAAATATATTTTGAGTCTTTGAAATAGTGACCCTACAGACTTTGAAGTTCTGACATCACTGACTACAGAACATGAAGAATTGAAAAAATATTAAAGTAGTTGCTCACCTCTCTTCCTTGAAGTGCAATAACTTGTTCTAGCTTTAGCCTGCAGCAAAACATCATGTAGAAAGTAAATCAGATGATAAAATGCACCAAATTAATTAAAAATAAAGTTCAACACTGAGTCCATTATAGTTATTTATCATACAGACGTCCCAGCTACAACATTAGTCCTTGCTACAAACATTGGAGCTGCTTGACTTTTTGTCACCTTTGTAATTTCATTTATTTACTTGTTTCCTTCCTGAATTATTACTCTGTAAATAGCCAATTTCCTCTCTACTAAGCTATAGAAATCAGTGACATAACAGTTGTCTCTTAAATGGCAAATTCTAAAGTTGTAGTCAACCAATAAAGATTTTATGAAAATACTCTGTGATGTAAAAATGAAAGGTACTTGACAGTAGTATTGTGAGCTCATTTAGGAAGTCATTAGTTGGGCCAGTTCTGAAAGTGTTATTTATCTTTTCCTAATACTATAGATGGACCTCGGCATCTATCTATAGTATCCAAGGACCTGTTTTTGTCCTTGATCCAGAGAAGTCCACTACCAATAAATAAGCATTCCTCATGCAACAACAATGCTTCTAACAACTTACCACCTGCATTCAACGTATAGCAGACATTCCAAGTGAATGTTTGACTTAACTTTAGTGAAGCTGGCTACAAAGGCAACTCCAGAAGCTTCTCAAAACTCTTATATCTCCAGTAATACATGCAGTGATATTTCAGTGGAATAGTTGTCAGTGTTGACATATTTACTCAATATGATAGAAATAAAGAATCAAGAGTTAACTGTGAACTTGGATTATATAATTTAAAATACTATTAAAGTATATTAGGATATGACAGCAGTATACAACATGATACTGCTTCTATCTGATTGGTTTATAGTCCCTATCCAGAGCATATACATGTTCATGTTAGACTCATAGGATTATTACCTCACACTATTCTGTTTCATCTGACCAGGAGCGACATTATCTCAACACAATCCACATCCAGGTTAGCCAGTTCTACTTCACAAATTTTTGCCTTCATTAACGTGAAAATGCTCCAAAATACCTGAATTAAAAAAAAAAAACCCCTCAGTTGTCACTGTTATTGTACAAAATACATTTCATTTCAGAAGCTGTGTAAAATCTATCAATAAAAGAATGCTTTCTAAATTTTCCTAATTTTGCTGATTTTCCAACATCTTAATTTTGTTTAATACATCATTACTTGCTAGAGCAAGAATAAATTAATAGCAAATAATTTAAAATATGAAATAGATAAATATATATGAATAATACATGTAAATATTAACCATTCCATTCATCAAAGAAACTAATTATCAATAATAATTTTTGGTTACAGGCTCAAAATACACTAATAAAGTTGTTAAATTTTAAATCATGATATCTCAAGATATCTGAACAATCAAGATACTATTGATGATATATAAGACATACACACATAGCAATATATAAATATTTATAAAGACAAACATATAGATGGTATAACATTAAAACTATTGTTCAGTTCTAGATCAACTTGATTTGTGAAATTTGAGTGATTATTTTTCATTTAGTCTCCAGATACTGTCTGAAAACAAAACAAAAGTGTAATGAAAAATCATTCTCTGTCAGAAAATAAGTTTCTATTATTTAAGCTACCTAATCTATAGTATCTTGTTATGGCACCTGAGTTGATTAATGCACTTCCTAAGTAATCATTGACTGGCCACTCCGTCTCTTGAATCACAGTTTTCTCATTTATAATTTATACATAGTACACTGCTATTCATATTCTACAAAATCTCAGTGAGAATTAAACAATATATTTGAAACTTTTTCAGAAAGCAATGCATTTTATAAATGTTAGTAGTTTTGATATTCATTGCTATTTTTAATCTCAGTTGTGCTCATTACTATCAGAATAAACTTATCTGGGTTCACCTATAAAAAAAAAGAAAAATCATTCTCCATTCTTATTCTACTCAAAATATCTGATATACAGAAAATAAAAATGAGGAAAGATGAAGCAAAAAGTAGAATACATATTTCTTGTAAACTAATGGGCAGATAACCCATATTTTAAAAGAGCAAAGAAAAAAAATTAAATGTATTATAAGCAATGCATAGAAGACGATGGCAAGAATGTGTTGATAGTAGATTTTATAAGGAAAATGGAAATTATAAAAATGAACCAAATAGTATTCTAGAAAGTAAAATAATATATTTAACCAAAAAGATTTTAGATAACTGATATATACCACAACATGAATGAGACTAAAAAACATTAAGTAAAAGGAATAGAGACAAAAAACTATATGATCCCATTTATATAAAATTTCTAGAAAAGCCAAATCTATAGAGACAGAAAACTAGTTAGTGGTGATCTGGGTCTAAGGAACTTTTAGGGAACGATGGAAATTTTCTAAAACTGGATTGTGTTGATAAATGTACAATGATATACATTTACTAAAAAATCATTGACTTGTGCACTTAAAGTATGTAAGTGTTATGGTATTTAATCAAAACTCCAAGTGCCCATGCTGTAAGAGATAAGATAGACAAGTGGGACCTCATTAAAATGAAAAGCTTCCGCAAAGCAAAAGAAAGCATCAAGAGAGTGGGGAGACAGCCCACAGAATGGGAAAAAATATTTGCCAGCTGTACATCTGACAAAAGCCTAACATCCAGGATCTACAAGGAACTCAAACGTACCAAAAGGAAAAAAGCAAACAGCAAAAGGCATAAATAGACACTTCTCAAAAGAAGATATATAGGCAGCCAACAGACACATGAAAAAGTGTTCAACGTCACAAATCATCAGAGAAATGCAAATCAAACCCATACTGAGATACCACCTAACCCCAGTAAGAATGGCCATCATTAATAAGCCAGAGATGATGGTGAGGATGCGGAGAAAAAGGAACATTTCCACACTGCTGGTGGGAATGCAAACTAGTGCAACCTCTTTGGATAATAGTGTGGCAATTTCTGAAAGAACTAGACATTGACTTTCCATATGACCCAGCAATAGCCCTACTGGGAATATACCCAGAGGAACTCAAATCATTCTACAAAAGATACCTGCACACACATGTTTATTGCAGCACTATTCACAATAGCAAAAACATGGAACTAACAGTGCTGCCCATCAAAACTGGACTGGATAAAAAGAAGGACATTCGAGACCCACCTGGGCAGTAAGACCTCATCTCTACAATAAATCAAAAAATCAGCCGGGCATGGTAGCGC